GCGACTCCACCCGCCCTGAAGGGCTGCGGTGCACCTGGACTCGGGGGCTTTCTACCTGGAGGAGCACAGAACAGAGGCACCCCCATGCACACCAGGACTGAGACCCTGGGGCTGCCGAACTCATGGTTTCAATGCCCTGAAGTTGGGCGATGGCTACGCCAGGCCGGCCTCGCTTCACGCAGGCGTCCCTTCTCCAGTCCCAGCATCTGTGAAACCCCAGGAGGGAGAGTGTGACCTGAGGCTCACTGTCGGACAGCAGGGCCCTGCGCGGTGTCCCAGGCTTCGGGCCTCACCTCCCCGCCTGCGACTCGGTGCTCTCCAGAGCCTGGCGGGCACTGACCCACAGAGACACAGGCTCCCCTCCCCGCACGGCAGGCTCTCAGAGCCTGCACCTTACACTGGGCCGCACTGCTGCTTCGACTGCCCCGTGAGCTCCCTAAGACGTCCACATGATTCGCTTTTCTGCTTTCGCAACCACTCACAGGAGAGAAGGGAGAACATCTATACACTTCAATAAGGCAAGTGAAGCCACTGAAGTGCCCTGGGACGCCCGCTGGGAACACTTACATGCTTGCCCCGCGGCCTCTTCCACAGGTTCCTCTCTCGGAAATTAGGGTCATATTGCACGGATGTTCTGTCTCTGTCTCTTCACTCAACACCACAAGTGAGCACTCCCCTGAACACTCTTTACAAACACGTTTTCTAAGTATTTGCACAACAACCCAGCACCAGGGCACCACGGCTCACTCCAACCGTGGTCGGCTGCGTGGGAGGCCAGCGACGGGACCATTACGCCGTCTGCTGGTCCCCACCATCGCGTACTCAGTCAACACGCCGTGTGTGTGTGCGGGGGGGTCAGGCTGTCTTCGGAGACTGCAGCCTGCACGGCATGCTCGGAGTGGCACGTGTGCCAACCACAACTGCCTTTCTTCCATGCTGATTAAATGTACTCCCCGTCCCCCCCCAAGACCGCCCATTCCCTGTGGATGAGAAGTGTGATGACCATGGAAACGGCTATGGCATGGGCCAGGGTGGCGAGAGGGCCAGCGGCAGATGTGTGAGCCGCACGTTCCCGCCTGCGCCCCGCGGTCTGGTGTCAATCCCATCGGCCTTGGAGCCCTGTGGGGCATAGCCCCACTGCCCGGCCGACCCCTCCACATCAAAGGTCCCTTCTGCCTGCAGGCGGGGTGTGGAGTGTAAGCTGCAGTGCTTGCCTGTCAAGCTTCATCATCACATCACAGCAGGAACAGCCAGGAATAAGACGGTGCTGAGCCCAGACAAGACGGGACCCGGGAGGCCAGGACAGGCGTCTTGAATTTCCCGAAAGGCTTACGTGTGTTGTGTGGTCCCGAAAGGCAAAGCTGGGACCAAGGGACAGGCACCACAGAACTAGATTCTGACTCAAAACAAGAACGTTCCAAATCAGCCAGGGCAATGCGAAGAACGAAAGGCTACACCTGTGAAGGGTGAGCCCTGCCACGGGGAAACGTCACGGCACGAGTTCCCGAGAAGGGGCTCGGGTGAGAGGCTGATCGGACACATGACGCTACCCCTTCCATGGGGCAGGGAACTGTGTGACGCCGTAAATGACCTGCACACCGACGGCCGCTGGTGGGCCCCGTCGCGGGGAAACCCACGGTAGCACCTTGTCTCTGAAATGCCCTCAGTTTCCAGATGTTCCCCGCACATGTGGAGCCTGGCTTCCTGGGAGCGACTTGCACATTTTCTAGAAGTCTCCAGGGCATTTCAGAGCCAAGGGCAGCACTCGCAGCCTGTGAGAAGCAAAGCACACGGGGACAGACCATAGCTAACACGGGTCGATTTTACCACCTGCAACAGGAGCTGATTCAGGAACCAACGTGCTCCCCGTGCTGTGCTTTATTCTGTCCTCCTGGCTGCTCAGACGTAATTAGCCTTACAGCCCGTCCGGCAATTTACATGCAATTACCCGGGACGCTGTGCGAGGCTCCACAGGCCACTCCGGGTACCCGAGGGGACGCGTGCAGCCG